GAGGAGGAGGCGGAGGCGGAGGCTGCGGCGTACAGCTCGTCGCGGCTGGGAGCCACCATTCTTGCTTCGAGATTTGCGGCCAATGCGCTGCGGGGCCACCGGATGCGCAACATCAGCGGGAGGACCTTGATCTCTTTGCAGAAGCCCCCCGAGCCCGATTTTTCCGTCTACAAGGGAGAGTAGAAACAGAAACAGGGTTTCAAATCCTCCCTCCACTTTCTAGATTTTTCTTGGTTTTATTTGAACAATATTTAGACCCGGTTTACTCGAGGAATGAGAATAATCAAAATTTTTATGGATTGGATTCCACTGGTGACATATCCAACTTTGCAATCACTGTGTTAAAATAGTGTAATCATTCTTACTCTTCTCTGTTAATCCTGGATTTCATTCTCATTTCTTATTCAGGACTCTTTACAATAATTAATTATTTTATATTTTTACTATTTAGACTACTAATCATTTGATTTTATTATAAAATATTACAAATTTCTATTTAATTTTTTAACTTTTTAAATTTACTTTGTTATTATTAATTAATATCACTGTATTAATTCATTATTACTAAATATTTGAACAATAAAATTTAAAAAGTTTTTGCTTAAGGGGGTGATTATTAAAAATTATTTTAGTTAATGTAATTTAATTTAATTATTTATTATTTGTTAATATTAAATAAATTGTTACGATAAAAAAAATATTTACTATCAATAAAATAGTAATAAAATATATTTTATTACTATTTTTAAAAAACAGTATTAGTTTATAATTAGCTAGAAAGGAGAAAGAGGTATATTTTGAGTAAACAACATGCATCAAATGAATGACATTCTCATTTCGATTGATTTTCAGTATGATCCATTCTCATTCTGATTTCTTGTAAGTAAACGAGGCCTTGTAACTGTCTGACCATTTTTTGGTGATCATCATTAAAATCATTAAAATTTTGATAAGTAGATGAGAGAGATGTAGAAATTGAGATATTGCTTTTGCTTTTTCAAAAAATTAAAAAAGATGTAAAATTTTTGTTGGTGATAAGCATGAAGATAGATGATCACATGTTAGCACCTAAGTATTATTTATTTGGTTTTTAATTTTTTTTAAAATTCTCTATATTTTCTTTAGTTCTCAAATGTGCTTTTTAATTGAGAGATTGTTACGTTGAATTATTGTTTTATTAACATACTGATGTGTTGTAGGTTTATTTCTAGGCATGTTAACAAAATAATTTAAAGAAACATTAATTTTTTATTAATAAATTTTAACATCTCTGTATTATAATACCTAAGTGAGAGTTTTAACGTTGTATTTATAATATATATGCAGTAGATATTTCATATACTATTCATATTTTCTTTAAACCATAGTTATCTATGCAATGCAACATGCTTGGTTTCCAACCAATGTAATGTTATATAAAAGGGTTGAATTATAATTTTCATCCATATAATATTATGTTAGACTTGTACAAATGGTAGGTCCGACATTTGGCAACTAAGGGGTAGCTTATTAATGTATTTTTTTTTCTTCGTATTGTTGAGATTTACAGCACAAATCAATAATCAATGTATTTATAGATGACTTGATGCTCACTAATTGCTGAGATATGATTATTGTGCTTGGTGGCACAGTTGAGTGACTCTGATTCACATAAAATAATCTCTTTAAAATTTTTGTCCCTTGACATATGGTGTTGTGAAATTTTGGGAGGATGTACTAAACTTATTTAAAGGAGGATAATGAGGGTATTTAGGCTCTTATAAAGCACCCTGAGAAATCCAAACAGTGATGGAGAATAACTTTTCTTTTGGTCTCAGAAAGTAAAATTGTTACCCTATCATAATCATTTTTGTCTATTAATCCTGCGTATGGTTATAACCCTAGTTGTTTTACTTTCAGGTATTGAGAGTTGCCTTCTATTTTTCAATGGTGGATTCCAATTTATATATCTGCTTATTTTTTAGGTTTTGTGAACCAATAAGATCACGTGGGTAGATACCGTATTGCGTCTGGGTCATTTTAACTTTATTTGATATTTGTTATTAAAAATACAAAAGGTATAAAATAACAAAAAAAATATATATTAAAATGAAATTGAAATGATGGATTTAGAGATGAAAGTAGAAAATAGAAAATAGATTTTTTTAAAATATATAAATATTTCTGTTTAATTTCTTTTAATATCTTTCTCTCACTTCCATATTTATCTCTTTCTCTCTCCCCCACTCTTCAAGTTTTACTAACTTCTCCATCTCTCCCAAGAATATCTCCTTCACTCTCACATTTTACACATAGGGAGGGGGATCGTGTCAATTTCTCATCGAATATCAAAACGTGCAATACCAGAATCTTCATTTTTTATAAAGTGTTTCATCTCCAAAATCTCTCTCTTTTTATCCCCACAAAAAACTTCCATTTTTTTACTTACTGTGATACAGAAGAGATTCTATCCAAAAACTCTCCCATCACTACTCTCAGTATATATAATCCATTTTTTCTTTTTTCCTAACAGATACAAAAGGTATTAGTTGCCAGTATTTAATCCACGAAATCCTCTTGTAATCAACATTTACTAAAAGGTTCGAAATTCCATTGCCTTTTGTTGATGCGTGGATTTTGACCCTCCGGCTCTTCTTCTCGCACACACCAAACCCGATGATAAGGGAACCGATACCTGCAAAATCAAACCGATCTAAACCGGTGTGACCTTAGTCACACGGGCTCCGATGCTTAAGTTAGCGAAGGAGAGTTGAGAAAATAATTAGCTAAAGATTAGTCACCCCTTTTCAGGGTTGGATCTCACTGCTACTTATAGCGGTGAAGATGATTCCAGAACCTTCGTAGCCAAATCCTAATTCGGCTTTGCAGGGCCCGAGGGATCGTAGATCGTA